GCAACCGCATTCGCCGAGGGGCGGGCCGTCGGTGCATGCGCCATGCACTTGGCAGCGAGATCGAGAATCGGGTCTGGACACGTATCGCTGAACTTGGGCTGCATCTTGCCTTGTCACAGTTCAGATGTAGTTAAGCTTGTGGCACGTGCTACCATCCTGGTGGGGTAAGCTGGTGGGGTAGCATGCCCGTGCCATAATTGATTATTGCCATCACCCAGAGGCAGAGATGCTATTTTCAGAATGATGGTTGTGACCAGCATTCCGTTGGACTCTTGTCGCACTGCAAAGTCCAGTCTCGAACAAGTATGTCGGGTCCGTGGGAGCCGAGCGCGTCGCTGCGGCAGGACGTCGACAAGAACCTCGTGCGCGTCCGGAGCAACCTCGAGGCGCATGCAGTTGCTATCCGCTGGGGCCTCGCCGCCGCCATGGTCACTGGCCTTTCTGTGTGCATGACGGTGCTGACAAGCGTGGTAGGCGGGCGTCGCTTGTCTTCGCGTCCGGTCGAGCCCTGCGGTACGCGCCATATTACTGCTGAAAGATAGTGCTCGACGTATGTCTAGTGGGCGCGTTATGCGAGTATTGAGGCGTTTCCGCTCTACAAGTCGGTGGTTGTTCGCGTCGTCGGTCCGCCAAGCGCGACGACACCGCCCGAGCTCCGCGTTGTCCAGTACCCGTTCCTGCGGCGTCTCTTGGGACGACCGAGAGACCTCCTCAGCTGCCCCCACGACACGGACGTGCTGACGATCCGACCCTTTGGCGTCCCCCTGCAGCGCAACGTACGACACTGTATGGCGTCCGATGGATGCTAATGACTTGGTGTCTAGCCGCGCCTGCTCGACAAGCTCATTGCAGACCAAGGATTCCTTACAATCGAAATGACGCTGCAGTACCAAGCGCCCGGTGGGCCGACGCGCCGCCGAGGCACGACGGTCGGCCTCTGCACCATCGACCTGCCGCAGGTACGCGCTGCAGGTTGGACGAAGACTGCGTTTACGATGGGTCTCGTAGACGTCGTCGCAATCCAAGGTCGTCTTGAGCGGGTTTTGCCACTTTGAGCTCGAGGCCAGGTTGCCCTATACGACCAAGTGCAAATTGAGCTCACACCATGTGTTGTAGCCACACCATCCGCCCGTCGTCCCCAAATAGAGTCGCTACGCCGACCGACAACCACTCCCGGCGCCAAGAACGATCCGCGGAAGTGGCGCCACCCGTGCTATAAACTGTGTAATACGTTAGTTCCGACTCGTTCGAAAAGACGCGGTTGCTGCTGACGGCGGCCGCACGCTGCTGTGCCGACTTCGTCATCGTCGCCCGCCTGTTTATGCCCGTGCACGCTTGCAGGAACGTGCCGCGCTTGCAGGAACGTGCCGCGCTTGCGTGATCACGTCAAGCAGGTTATCCTGCTGCGTCAACAGCGAGTCGCATCCACTCGCCCTGTCTAGCTTGCCATGAAATAGAGTGCACGCTCACACCATTTCCGTTTCTCAACGCGCTCGAGGCTGCAGGCTCCTGCAGGGCCTGTGTCGACAGTGGAAGACGCATGGCTGCGTCGCCTGCAAAGTCGAGTTGTCGAGGCCGCGCACGCCTGCGACGCTGAATGACGCGTCGTCAGACCACGGTGTGTGCGGTGTCGCTTCGGACCGTCAACGCCACGATTGCTATTGCGCTCATTGCGACCGCTCATTGGTCTGCGTAGCATCGGCGTCGGCGTCGGACAATAATGTCGTCGACTGCGCTTGTCGCTGTCGTGTCGTCGTCATGACGCACTCCGCGCGACGCATGACGTCACGGTGCCGTCGCCGCGGTCGGCCGTCTTGTACTCGGCATCGACTACTAACGTGCAGCCATGATAGGCCATCGTCGCTAAACAAGCATTGCTACGATGTCTTGAAGCTTGCTTTGCACGCCCAGTGCCTCTTCTTCCTTCTCAGATCGCGAGATCTTAGTCGACGTCCACGGCGCGCTTCTCGACCCGAAATCGTGTACGGATTATGTCATGGAAATAGTGTACGTTCAACGTCTGCGTGGTATCCGGATGCGTTCTGTTTTTGGCTCGCATTTTTCTTCACTTTTCAATTTGACCACCCGCCTCCGTTCTTAGAGCCGTCGCCGCTGACCATGCTGCTCAACCTGGCGCTGCTCGCTGGCGTCGTCGCCATGGTGCTCATCTACGGCTACCGCATTGTCTCCAACTTCTTGCGCTTCGCCTGCCACCTCTACTTCCGCAAGATCACAGTCTATGGCATCAACAACCTCCCGCGCGAAGGCCCAGTCGTCGTCTGCCCCAACCACCCCAACATGTTTATCGACGCGCTGCTTGTTGTGACCGAGTGCACGCGCTTGGGTCGCCCGCCGTTCGCGTGGGCGAAGGCCTCGCTCTTCAAGAACCCGATCGTGGCGCGGGTGCTCACGGCGCTCGGCGCCGTCGCGGTGTTTCGCCCGCCCAAGCCCACGGGGCTCCAGGACGTCGACTCGGACAAGACGCCCGAAGAGATTGCGGCCGCGACGCGGATGATGTTCAAGTGCACGTGGGACGTCCTCGCGCGCGGCAACGTTGTCGTGCTCTTTCCCGAAGGCACGTCGTACACGCTCCCGCGCATGCTGAGTCTCCGCACGGGCGTCATGCGTGTCGCGACCGGCTTTGTGAAGGAGCACAACACGCCCATCACGGTCGTGCCCCTTGGTCTGACGTACTTCAACAAGGACCATTTTCGCAGGTACACATCTCTCGGCCGGGCGAGATCTCATGCGCTACGATGTAGCGAGGTGACGCTCGAGTATGGCACGCCCATCGTGATCGACCAAGCCACGATCCAATCGGAAGCCTTCTTGGCCGACGAGCACGCCCAAGTCAAGCACCTCACCGAACAGCTTCAGGTACGAGTAGAACAATGTTATAACGGTTTGATTCTCATGAAGGCTACAGGAGCGCATGCACAGCGTGACACTCAACGGCAACGACTTTAGCTCGCTTCGCATCGCGCGCATGATCAAGCGACTGTATGTGGGCGGTCCGCTGAGCCCGAAAGACGACGTGCATTTTACGCAGCAGCTCATCGACCTCGTCGAAGGCAAGCTCACGACCAAGGAGACCGAACAAGTGTACGCCCCTCGTAGTTGCGTATTCGGGAAATTGATCGAGACGTAGTGTTTTGGACCAGCTCAAGACAGACGTCGTGACGTACCAAGCGAAGCTCGACGAACTCCGCCTCAAGGACGCCGATCTGCTCGTGTCGCTCGAGAATGAGTCGCTGCTGCAGCTCGTGCTCGAGCGTCTCTGCTACCTCGTGGTGCTTCTTCCGCTGGCCCTGCCCGGCATCCTGCTCAACCTGCCCTTTTACCTCATCGGTAGCCTCGGACTTGAGCTTAGAATCCGACAACTCACGCTTCGTAGGCAACAAGCTGAATGACCTCGCCGGCTTTACCGAGTCCAAGTCGATGTTCAAGCTCTTTGCTGGCATGTACGAATGTCGACACTGCACCTTGGCATGTATCAAGTTGATACTGACGCAATTCTCTTCTAGGGTGCTCGTGCCGCTGCAGTGGGTCTTCCTCATTGGCGCGGGTTGGTACTTGTATGGGTCGACGGCCGCGTACGCAGTGGCCATAGCCCTCCCGCTCTGCTTTTACTCGCACATCCGCGTCCTGGAAGAAAGCCGGTCGATCCTCGAGAATGTGTGGTTCCTCGGCACGATCGCGACCCGCAAGGACCGCGTCAACAAGCTCCGCGACGACCGCGCCCAAGTCGCGTCGACGGTCAAGGTACTTTGAATTGCGGGAATTCTCGAAGTTGCATGGGGCCGTAGGCGATTGTCGAGACGCTGGTCAAAGACCCGATCATGGACAACGTCAAGCGCGCCGTGTCGCCGATGCACCAGACGCTGCGAAAGCGCACCAAGTCACGAACCGACCTTTCGTTTATGAACACGACGACCTAACCCTCAATAAGACGATCGGTGTACTTATAGCATATCGCATCGGGACGGCTGGTGGCGTTACTGGCAAAGCTGTTTGAAGAAGGCGTCGGCATACGCGTCATAGACATTGGCACCTGCTTGCAGCAGCACACTCTCGCCGTCCTTCTCGACACGCAGACTCGCCGCGTTGGTCGTCTCACAAGGAAATGTCGTCGATGTCGTGTCGGACTCGTGTCGTCCGGTGGACTGACACCAGAGTCAGCATCGTCGTTTTCTGCTTCCTCGCCCTCGTTGTCCTCTTCTTCGTCCTCGTCTTCGTCGTCATCGTAGTCACCGTTGCCATCGTCGAAGTCTCTTCTTCAGCGTCGACTGTGTCTGCCCCGTCGGTATCTTCGACATGTCCATCGGCGCTGTCGACGGGGTGCTTGAAGTTGACAACATCCAAGTCACGGAGCCCCTTTATGACGCCAGGTAGAAAGTCGAGACCGAGCTCACGCTGGAGGACCTTGGGCCAGTCGACCACGGCCGCGCCTTCGTTCACAGTCACTTCAAAGGTCGCGCTGGCCTCGAGTGCACAGACGTAAACAAGCGTCTTGGGGTGGTCACGCGCTGCGTACACAAAGCTCTTGGTCGTAAGCACACGCAGCTTTTCGCGAGCGCTGTCGCTAGAGAAGCAGCGTGCGACAAGAGAGCAACGGGGCGCCGACCGAGCGAGCATCGACAACATGACTGGTATGGTCTGGTGCGCAACTTTGAAAATGCGTCAAGTCGACCTGCAGCGGCCTACTAGTCTAAACTTGACATGGCCGATCGTTTGGGACTTGGTGCTCGGAAACTGGTTGGGAACGGGAGAACATGCCACGATTGTTTGTTTCTGGGGGTTTACAACCTGTAATCCCGCTTGGACAAATAACTAAAAGTCATAGCAGTAAAAGTCTCCAGTGACTAGCATGTCCTGCGACGTTGTCGTATACGGTGGCTCTTCACGAGAGGGACTGCTCTCCAGAACTCAAGTCTGACACCATCAACGTCTGGCGTTCGATGAATCTTCGATTGTGTTGCTTGGACATAGAGATCGAGTTGCTATTAGTCAAAGCTCGGGGTGGCTGCTTGCCCTGAAAAAGGCGCCAAAAACCTCTAAAAATGTATGTCGCGTCGCTGCACGTGTAACGATTTTGCGCGCCAAAACCAACGTTGGCGTATCAACGGTGAGATTGGCCGTGTTTCGGCAGTGAATTTAGATCGAATGCCATCGAGACCATTGTACTCTTATGCGCGACCATATCGAGATAGACTCTTGAGAGTAACCTTCTCGTTGGAAAGCGAGCCGGATGCCCAGCCTAATAGCCCAACCACGTACTCGCTCATTCCCGACTTTTCTACGGCAAGCATTGGCATCTCTAATGAACCTTGGCGCCACCTTTCCTCTGGTGGTTGTTCTCTGTCTTGGTACCAGAATGCACTGGATTATCGTCTCTGGTCTGATGATCGTCTGGTCTCGTACGAGTGCCAGATTTGTGGAGGACATAACGCGTATGTCATGGGAACAGCAAGCCAATCGTCGTGAATTGTCCATAGTTCACAAAATAATATTGATCCAAGATTGTTCTAAGTCTAACTCTAACATAATAGTAATAGGGTACAGCGTAATTTAAGCAGCAGGGGCCATGGTGCAGATACGGCACACGCACGGCGCCGTCGACGCCATGAGCCGCCAAGTGGGCGACATGGCCGCGCCGTGTTTGCAGTGCAGCGACTTGTGCAGCTTCTCGCCGTCCGCGAGCTCTTGCTGGATGTGGAGGTGCTGCATGAAGAAGCCCGTGAGCGGCTCGCGGAGACGCGGCTCGACGCCCTCAAAGTCAAAGTTTTGTTGGGGTTTGAACTCGGTCGTAAGGAACACGACTGCTTCCAGCACATCGGTCGGTGAAAACGACCGGAAACTGGCGTCCATGAGCGTGAGGTCGATAAAGTAGAGAGCGTCCGCGAGTTGCGTCGGCGTCATCTCGGCCATCGCTGGCAACTTTTGGAAGCGCGAGAGCATCGTCGGGTGCAAAATGCGGAAGCCGAGGCGCTTGAGGATCTGACACTCGATCACGAGCACGTGGTGCCAGCTCCAGTTGCCGCGGCGGTGGCGCTGCTGCAAAATCTGCTTGACGCGGAGGCTCTCGATGGCGGCCTGCGTCTCGTTGAACTTGCAAGCGATCCAGATGCACGCAATACTGACGACCTCGAGCCACTGGATCGTGATCGGCTGCACCTTGAGGAAGCGGTCGAGCAGGTCGATGGCCATGTGGACAGTTTCGTGGGCGAGGCCGAGGTTGTTGGTGAGCGTGTACAAGGCAGCGACGTAGTAGTTGCGATCGTCGGTGGTCACGACGCGGAAGTGCTGCTTGGCCTTGGGCGCCCACGGCGCAGCGTCGACGTCGAGCGGCGTGTCCGTTGCGACCTTCGGCGGCACGTTCTCCTTGTTGCAGATCGACGTGTCGGCGGGCACGACGAGCTTGTGCAGTCGGCCACGATGGAGCGTGAACTTGTCCGTGAGCTTGGACAAGGCCTCGCGCTTGCAGCGCTTGCTGTCGCCGTCGGCGGCGGGCGACAAGCAGCGCTTCAAGCTCGACGGCTGCGCGACCATCATGGAGGAATGGAAAATGCACTTGACGACGCCATTTCAACCCAAGTGACCCAAGACCGTGTACCGTACGACACTTTTGGGGTCCAGTTTTGGCGGGCAGATTGGCGTGCCAGAAATATTCCGCCAATCAAGAGCGTGTATCACTGCATACACGTCGTTCATTGGTCCAAGCGTGTTTCAACCGGTAGGCTAACTGCAAAGTCGCGTTACACTTGCCACTTGTATGTAAACCGTTCGGTTGCACCTAAATTGCGGTTTTTAACCGCAGTAAAAGGCGGGAAGCGCGCGCTGACAGGCCACCAGATGCCGTCGAGGAGGCGCCATTCGCGCCGTCTCGTTTCCCGCGCTTCCGCACCACAACACGACTGGAGCGTCCGACTGTCTACGTGACAGAGCAAGCGACCACTTGGTGCAATCTGGCGCCATTATTAGTGGACCTGAAACGCTCCTGTTTCGAATTTCCACACACGATTCTCAGAAATTAGGCGCCAAACCCAGACCCGTTCCCGATACTAGTATTAGCTCGAGATGGCGCAGCGTCCAGCGTCAACATACACCTCCCGCAGCAATAAATAACATTTTAGATCGGTTTACAACACCAGTCGATTCGGTCCCCAGCCGACGGCGGCGAGCGTGAACCCGACGAGCGGCCAGCTCGGGCGGTGCCACGAAGTGGCATGCGACGTCGTTTGTCCGACCGATGAATTGGGCGGCGCTGGCGTCGGCTTGGCGTCATTCACCCACGTCGCCAGCGCCTGCACGTACGTGAGCACGCCGGCGTAGAGCTCGTCGCCGCGCGGCCGGATCATCGACGATGGCGCGCGAAAGTCGTGGCCGTCCATCTCAATAATGAGCGCCGGCGCACCGTAGAGAAGGTACATGTAGTCGCCAAAGCCGCCGTAGACCGGGTAGAGCTGCACCGAGCGCTGGTTCAGATACATGGGCCCCATCGCGCGGCGCGTCGCGTTCGCAAGCGTCGCAAGCGCATTGCCGTACGGTGGCGACGGCTCATCTTCCTGGTGCCCGAACGGAGAGAGGACCCAGCCGCCGTAAGTGTGCACGTCCAGCGCGCCAACGATGCTCTTTGGCTCGCGCGCTTGCAGCCACGTATGAATAGCCAGCGTCTCGGGCTCGCTATACGGCGCAGTGCCCGGGTACACCTCCGTGTCCTCCTCTGTCTCGGCCTTGAACGACGAGGTCGGGCCAAAGTTGCGGTTGAGATCGACGCCAAAGGCGAGCGATGAGGCGTTGGGCACCGTGAACGGACGCATGTTTTTGCGGTGGTATCGGTCGCCGTTCCACGTAGCCACGTAGCCATCGACATTGACGATGGGGACGATGCACCACTCGTACGCTTCGAGGAGCTACCACCGTCAACCATGAGCGCCATGGAGGGTATGGAAGGGATGTACCGATAGCACCGTTTTGTTTTGAGCGACAACGTCGTCGAGGAGGCGCGCGAGGGCGTACACCGTCGAGGTTGTTGCGATCCACTCGCGTGCGTGCTGCAGCGCTTGGATGTACACGAGCTGCTTTGGCGGCGACGGCGACAGCGAAAACGTATAGGCCGGTATGTCCCGTCCTGTGTGTCCAATGAGCCGCCGAATCCTATCAGAAGTGAGAATGTACCTTGCAGCGTCTTGCCGATCGTCACGTTGGCCGACGTTAGGTGTGGCACGCGCGCTAGCATGGCCGACATGAACGCAAACACATCGTCGTGGCGTCGAAAGCAATCAAAATACGCGCTGCGTGAAAAGCTCCCGACTTGAAGGGACGCGAGGTAGCCTACGGTGGCGTTGCTGCAGGCGTCAGCCGCGATGGCGTCGTCAAGCGGCGGTGGCTCGTACGCGGCGACGCTCAGCGCCATCAGACACATCAGAAACCTCAAGGCGACGTGCATGTTGACGCGCCAAATGCAAAGTGCAACGACTGGGATCTTTGTATCGCATCTTGCGTTGTTCCCTCGCTTGAACGACTTCAGCTATCAACAGCGTTTCTATGTATTATGACAATAGGCCAAAAAACATACATGTATGTCACTAAACCGAGGGCTTACGAAGGTGCTGGATATTGGTACTGTGTCGGACCGAGCACTCGGACCGAGATGCACCAACGATGTTACTTACGACGTCCGTCTTCTATCTGGACATACATCAGCGTAGGTCGGCCCGACATCTTTGCACAGCGATAAAGCCGACCGCATGCTTCCCCTCGTCAAGCCTTGAGAGCTCTTGATGCAAGTCGACTACATGTACGAGACATCTGTCCAGCCGTGGTTCTCTGGCGAAACTTCCACTCGACGATTATGCCGATCTCATATACACGGAAATGGCTTTACCCATGGACGTGTGGAGAGGTTGTGAGACCGGAGGTAGCATGCATTGCGGCCCAAAGGTGCAGAAGACGAGCATAGGCCCATAGTTCAGTCGAGTGCGGCGCATCTAGAAGAATAAATCTGGTTGAACTTGTCTATCCATCGATTTCGATGGTTCACCCAAGCGTCCTCGTGGTCCTCTTGCCGCGCACCCATGTATTCACTTTCATTTTTGCCTCGCGCTTCACACCTCCACCAACATGCAGTTCCGCTACCTCGCCTTCTTCCTCGCGACCGCTTCAGCGATGGCCCCCGAGCACCACCACCACCGCCACCACCGTCACCACGACGCTGAAGAGTCCTGCACCAACGTCAGCGTCGAAGGCGACAGCACGTACTGCATCCGCGGTCCCATCTGCTCGGGCTCGACCAACGGTAGCGGTGCGTGCCCCAAGAAGGGCGATACGGCCGTTGCCAACTGCGTCAGCAACATCCCGAGCTACGTGAGCGCCGGCGTGTGCAAGGCCAAGCGCGACGCGGTCTGCACCAAGCTCAAGACGGGTGCCTTTGGGTGTGCCTACCCGCGCGCTGAGACGGAAGTCATGGCTGCCGACGCCGAAGCCGCCTGCACCAACGTCAGCGTCCAGGGCGACGCCACGTACTGCATCGACGGTCCGATCTGCGGCGGCAACGGCGACAAGTGTCCCAAGAAGGGCGACAAGGCCGTCCACAACTGCCTCCCCAACCTCAAGAGCTACGCCAACGGCGGCTGCGTGGCACCGGTCGACGCCGTGTGCCAGACGATCGCATCTGGCGCCCGTGGGTGCGTCTTTGGCGCCACGCCGGCACCGACGCCCGTGACGACGCCGGCCGGCTGCACCAACGTCAGCGTCGAGGGCGACGGCACATACTGCATCACGGGTCCGATCTGTGCCGGCTCGACGGACGGCAGCGGCGCGTGTCCCAAGAAGGGCGACCCGGTCGTCGCCAACTGCGTCAGCAACATCCCGAGCTACGTGAGCGGGTCGTGCTCCGCGCCCCGCGACGCCAAGTGCGTCAAGCTCAAGACCGGTGCGTTCGGCTGCGCGTTTGCACCAGTCGAAGCCGAGGTCCAGGTCGCCGCCGCCGAGACCGTCGATGCTGTCCAACAAGCCTGCACCAACGTGAGTGTCCAGGGCGACGCCACGTACTGCGTCACGGGTGCGATCTGCGGTGACGCGGGCGACCAGTGTCCCAAGAAGGGCGACAAGGCCGTGCAGAGCTGCGTGGCGGGTATCCCGAGCTTTGCCAACGGCAACTGCGTCGCACCGTCGGACGGCGTGTGCCAGGTGCTGCGTCCGGGCGGTCCCAAGGGCTGTGTGTTTAGCGCGCCGTCCGCGACACCGTCCGTGACGCCGTCCGTGACACCCGCGTCGACGCCGGCGACGGACAACAGCAAGGTGTGTGCCGAGAACTGGAGCCAATGCAACGGTCAGAACTGGCCGTTCGGCGTCTGCTGCAAGAACGCGGGCTGGAAGTGCGTCAAGCACAACGACTACTACTCGCAGTGCCTCCAAGGCTAAATGTCCTTGTTGTTCTCTTAAACTTCTTGAATGTATCAACAACTTTTGTGTACTTCTATCCCGAGGCGAGTACGTCCATGTCCTAACCCTATCCCCTATTCATGACGTTTTGCCATATCAGAGTCCATCAATGTTGAAGAAATCTCGACTATTCGTATTCGCGCGCACCATAGTTGGTCTTCAACGTCGCCGCATCTGTGCGGTCGCCCGCTAGCTTGGGGATCGCCGCCTCAATCTCGGCCAGCTCGGCAGCCGAGAGCTGGATCGCCGCCGCGCCCGCGTTCTCAATGAGACGCGCGGGGCTCTTTGTACCAGGAATCGGCACCACGTCGTCACCACTACCACATCGATGAGAGACCTGTAACAGTGTAGACGAAGATAAAATACCGGTGAAGGACCCAGGCGAGGGCCAGCTGCGCGGGCGTGACGCCCTTGGCCTTGGCGAGTTCAAAGAGCTGGGTCGCCTTGTTCTGCTCGAGGTTTCCATCAACAAAGCGCGGGTTGCGGCGGCGCATGTCCTTCTCCGAAATATCGTTGGTCGACGCAATCGCACCCGTCAAGAGACCGCGGCCGAGCGGCGAGTAGGCCACGATGCCAACGCCGAGCTCCCGCGCCGTCTTGGCGACCGAGTCTTCAATGTCACGGGTGTTGAGCGACCACTCCATCTGGATGGCCGAGACCGGGTGCACGGCGTGGGCGCGACGCAGCTCGCTCGACGAACACTCGGAGAGACCAACGTACTTGATCTTGCCTTCGTCGACGAGCTCTTTGAGGGTCGCCATCGTCTCCTCGATCGGCGTCGACGGGTCCATGCGGTGCATGTAGTAGAGATCCACCGAGTCGATACCGAGACGCTCCAACGACTCCGCGAGCTGCTCACGAATGAACGCCGGCTTGCCGCTGATGTACCGTTGACCATTGGCGTCGACGCCGAGTCCGAACTTGGTCGCAACGATAAACTTGTCGCGGCCAAAGCGCTTGAGAGCCTTGCCGACAAGCGCTTCGTTGGTGACGTTGGGCTTGCCGTCAATACCAAACGACTGGTAGATCCACGCCGTATCGATCATGTTGATGCCGAGCTCGAGCGCCTTGCC